AATAAGCTTAGCTACTTTTAATTTTTTTTATATGAGTGTCTAACTCTATCTTAATTTTTCTTTCAGCCCAAGTCTATAGTTTTATATCAAAACATAAAAGTTCCACTTTAATATAATACATTTTGTTATTTATCTTCATGTATAAGAAATGTAATTTAAATCCAAAAGTGTTTAAATCTGAGTTATATATATTATATATATATATATATATATATATATATATATGAAAAAAAAAGTAGTAGCTATTTTCGTCAGGTTCCCACTAATCCCAGAGTCAATAAAAATGCCATGAACAAACCAATGGCTTTCCCTTTTATAGAGTATACATGCCATCTAGGGATAGTCTTTTTATACATGTTTTGTTCCACCACAAATCCTTAAAAACAGGAAACAGAGTAAATGTCAGTTTTGAAATCATTAATGTACACAAGAACCAGAAAAAAAAAAGTTATAACAAACTAAACATATCTCATTAATTCTAACCTTTCTCAAGCAAGGTAACATCCTCCATTGATCCCTGGATGGCCTCAACTACATTCTGGAGATTATTCGCTTTGACTAGTGCACGGGCATGTTCTGACATCTTCGTCGCTTCCACTGCATACACCTTCCTCACGCCTGCTTGAGCTGACCATATAAGCAGATGCCACTTCTAGTCCCCCCTGTCAAAACATTCTTCTCCCAAATTAACTCACAAAGTCAGTTCAAAATCCACTCACAATAAACATAACATAACACAAGCAATAAGAGCTAATAAGTAAAAGTCAAGAAGACAGGTTAGTCTTTTCTTACCAGAATATCTTCCCCTCATGGCCATTTTCCAATGCATGTAGAGTTGGATTTCTTCTAAGGTTATTTACCAGACCCATAAAAAATCTACCAAAACATATTTGATGGAATAATAGCATTAGTCTTGATTATAAATTATGGATTTATCTTTAATTTTGGATGGTTCATTGTGCTTAAACATTTATTGGTTTGTGATATATAGATTTTAAGTTATTTATCTTGTATTTATAATGACCATCCCACTATTTACTATCGTGGTGTTTTGGGATCAGTTGCTTTGCTACTATTTGAGACTTATTACTATAACACAAAATAGATTCAAATAAATTCTTTTGTTTGTGTGCAAGTGCACGTACTAAAACAAACCATAAATATAAACTATTGGTTCCTGGCAATGTGTTACATGAAATCTTTTGAGATTGATCATGTATTGTTTATATGTAAGTTTTGAAAGACTTTTAATTTAATGCATGAATTTAAACATGCAGGTTATTAAGGAAACAATTGATTCCAATATTACAATAGAATACAAGTCAAACACAGTTGATGATATACATATGAGGAAGCCAGATATTGGCAAAGCGAAGGAACTGCTGATTTAGGAACACAAAATCTCACTTAATGATGAAATTGGATTCTAAATAAAGATGAAGGTAAAGGCATGAAATTTTCCTTTAGGAAGGAGATTTATTCTAATCTTCCATTTCAGGCTATGAAAGAAGTTAATTAGCTTTTAAAAATGTTACCTTTAGAAGTTTAATTGTATATTGATTTACAACATGAAAATCAAAGTTAATTAGCTTTTAAAAATGTTACCTTTAGCATTTTAATTGTAATTGATTTACAATATGAAAATCAACTAAGATACACGTGATTGTTAATTTATTTAGATGTTCATACTTAACTTCATCCATGTTTGTACACAGTTTAATATTATTCAAACTAAAAAAATATTCAATTGTGTATGTTTATTATCTTGTATTTTTAAGTAATTTATGATTGATTTATGTATTTCATTAGTTGTAAAAGCAATTTGATGCTTGTATTTATCTCTAGTCAGATATATAAAACTCCTAAAAGCAATTTGGTGGTTGTATTTATCTTTAGTCAGATATATAAAACTCCTAAAAGCAATTTGGTGGTGTAATCTAGGATTACCTAATTTTTTTTTTATAAAATTGTAAAGTTATATACGGATATTACATACAGATTTATTTGTATGTAATTATATAAAAATGTTATATACAGATATTACATATGGATTTATTCGTATATAATTTATATACGGATTTATCCGTATATAATATATATACGGATTTATCCATATATAAGTTGTATATAATCAAGTGTTATATATGGATTTTGGACCTTATAATCAGATTTTGGTGGTATGTGATTCAATTTTTTCTTGTAGCAAGTTGTTTTCTCATTCAAAGAAAATGTGACATAAATCTTGCACAAGAGGCTCAGACATCCTCATCATATATGTTGGGTGCAAAAAGTTTCTCTTATTTTGCAATAATGGCTGCAACGTTGGTTTTGAACCTTCTCAATGTGGTTGTGGTTTGCTATGGAGGCAAAACAATTTCTTTCATCAGGAAGGTCGATAGGGCTGAGGACATGCCGCTTATTTGCTGCCCTATTTAGCTACAATGCTCCTCAACAGGTTCATATAACAATAAGTGACCATGTGGAAAGGGCCATGATTGTATCATGGGTGACCATGGACGAACCTGGAAATAGTTTAGTATGTTATTGGAATGAGACATACGAGGAGGACCTTCACAATTCAGGGTACTATGAATCATGGGTGCTAATAAAGTCAACACTGAAGCTGTCACGAAGGATTATGTTAGAATTCACAATACAGGATTAAGAAACTTTTTATTGAAGCCAAATTGACCTTTCATGGACTTTTGCAGTTCCTAAAGAAAAGAGGAGTGTTAAGAAAATGTTTTAAGAATATTTTATTTTTAATTTTAAATGAGTCAAAGTTTGTTCCTTAATTTTAGGATTTAGTAAATTTTTTAATTATGGATTGGAGTAGTGGACTAAAATTAGGATAAAAATATTAGTGACTAGTTACTTTTCTAAGTTTTAAATATTACGATGTTTTTCATTATTTCACCATCAATAATACAAAAACATTTTAGCTTCAAGTTTGCTACTGTTTTGATCCTAAAAATATCTAAAGACTGTTTTATGTGTTTCATACTGAACCACATAAGCATTAAACAATTATCAAGATCGGTCATTAATCTATAACTAGTATTTGAGAGCATCATTTCAAATTTCCTATTTTCTTTTGGTTTAAATCTAGAAAAACTTTAAAATATCAAAGTTTACTTGTATATGATATGTTTTTAATTGATTTACAGTTCACACTATAATTACATAGAAGTTATAAACTCTAAAATAATGTTAAAACAGTATAAGTTTTTTTTTTAATAATTTGATCCAACTACAAATCATAAACATTAAAATGTGGTACCTTATGACGTTTAGAAGATGAGCATTCCCCAGTTTCGAGTTTTGAAGCGTCCCACGGTCGTTCTACTCGTCCCTACAGTGCAATTTCATTTCAAATTTGTACATTTTAACCAAAGCTATATTTTCCTTTCTCCTCAGATCCTTTCAAGTTCTGGAATGCTTTAGGGACCCTGGAGTATCCCAAAGGATCAAAAGCACCACCAGGGTATTTCTTCTTCTCTGGGTCTTTCTCCATGCTCCTTTGCTGCTCCACAAAGGAAATAGCAAGCAATTCAATGACCATAATGGTGGGTAGTGTGCCCCGTGGAACTGGGTTGCCAAGGTAGGTGGCTTGGCTACCAGGAACTGCAGCCCATTCCTGAGCCTTTACCCAGTTTCCTATAAGCAGAGGTTTATGGTAGTTAGGTAGTGCTTAATAGGCATGCAAAATAAATTATGCAGTCAATCAGTCAAGTTAGCAAACATAATGTTTTGAAATTAAACGAAAGTATAAGCACGTGTATTATTTACTCATTTAGTTATATATATATCCTCACTTGAGTGAACTACTTGTAAAACATGTAGGATAGTAAGCAATTATACAAGACTGAATGCATGTTTCTGGTACTATATTACACATTATTTCAAGCTAAATTTTACCACTTCTAATCAAAGAAATTGAATGTTTGATAAAGCTTAAACAGTTGAATTGAAAGGAACACCTTTGATCCAATTCTCTCTTCAGATTTGCAAAGCAAAGAAAAAAGGGTGGTGTTAAGATGTGGTCAAATATAGAACAACTGTCACAATTCAAGTAATAAGCCAGGTGCAATAAAAGTATTGGGTTTATACAACCTTTATTATGTTCAGATGTTAAATATTCTTTTACATAAATCAGCCACTAAAATAAAATATCTACGCACAGAATTTAATATCATTTATATAATTCATTGACATTATAGCTTAAAAATGATAAGTTATCACAAGACTATCCCCAATCCACTTGAATTTTAGCATGTACGTTGCTGAATTATATGTTAAAAGAATGGTTTCACAAAAATTAAATCCGATCATAGCTAGTGTGTGCCATACTGATCTAGTTCCAAAGGGAACAATAAGTAAAAAGGAGTTTTGAATCCAAATGTTGGCCCAAAAAGAAAGTATGCAATATTTTTTTCAACACAACAGAGACTGTAAAAGTATTTGCAAGTCTTATTATCCCTGATTCACTGACCAAATACATTTTTCTCCCAAATCTTATTATCAATTAAGAAATCTGTTACTCACTGTTCCATAAGTTGGTGGACGGAGAATCCAACAAGAAAAAGATAATAAACACGAAGAATAAGAAAAGGGGAATGAAAATATTCACGGGGTTTTGTGAACTTGGAAAACAACCAATTCCAATGGCAGAGATGAAGAGGAAAAACAACAAAAGAAACCGTTTGCGAGGAAACAGCCAAGAATGGAAAGATGAACTAGGCAGAGGAAGCACCTGGAATATGAAGATGTAGTAAGCATCCTCATAGAGGGCCCGCATGGCATCAACGGGCCTGACTTTTTGGTTTTTGGGCTTGAAAGGGACGCTGAGGCAAACGTACGCCTGGATTCTCTCTGGTCCAAACACCCATTGCAGGTTATGGCACTATAAGGAAGAAGAAAACAGAAACCTGGAGCTCGGATTGAACACCCATTGCAGGTTAGGGCACTATAATGAAGAAGAACACTGAAACCATGGAGCTCCGATTGAATACCATGGCAACGGAAGGAAAAAGAAAATTGAAACCATGTTTGTAGTTGGAGAGTGAGACTGAGGGAGAGTGAGGGGAGGCAGTTACTAGAGAGAGGGAGGAGAGGCAGTTGCGACGGAGAGTGATGAAAAGAGTGATGGAATCATGCATTCATGCATAGCATCTCAACTTAACCCAACTGCATAATTCATTTTATTGTAAAAGCCAGTTTGGTGCTGTTGCTGTCAAATTTAGTTTAACGTGTGATTGAGGAATTGGACTAATTGGTTTGATTTGATCATCATTTTACATAGTATAGGTCATTTGCATGGTATAAAACATAGTATAATCATTTAAAAAATAGTACTTTTTAAGGCACTCCAAAATTTTCATCATAAATAATGTTCATAGTACGAATGAGATGCTTGTTGGTAGTGATAGACCATCTTTAAAGAAGGTGATAATACTAAAAATTGATTCTCTTTATATTACAAATAAAGATATACGATGATAATTTTGAAAATTTTGCGAATTTATAAGCTGTGGTGGCAAAGAAACTGAAACCATTCATATATTTTGTTTCGATTTTCTTACAACTGAGATCTATAAATATGTGAAATTTTTAAATTTTTCAAATTTGCTGTTATTTTTTTAATTATCTCACCGTGGTGCAGAATTATAGGTTTCGGTTTCTTGAGAACTGACCATACATATGTTTTGCTTCCTCCTACATTCATTCTCCGTTGTGACTACAAAGAGCTCTCCACTTTTTGCTGCCACCTTCTTTGCCTTTCTTATTGCCTTTCTTTTATTACCTTTCTTTGAAGGACCTCCATTCTCACCGCTTCTCGTCATTGCTGAAGCTCACTTCACGAGTCCTCCATTTTTGCCATCACTCATCTATGAATTGGTGACTGATTTTTTTATTTTATTTTGCATTTTTGGTTGAGTTTGTTTCTTGCTTGAGTTCTTTGTTGATAATGTTTGGGTTTTCTAGCTGCCATTGTTATCCAGTTATTGTTGCATTGACCAAATATTGTTGCAGTTTTCAAAACGTGTTTAGAATTGTATCTCATTCCTTGTTGTCGCATTTCACGCTCTTAGATTTCCATTATTACCTTTAAAATTTATTTTAAATATGAGCCTAAAATTAATTTTTGCAATGAAAAATTTTATTTTTTTATGTTAAATATATGGTTAAAAATAATGATTTTGTTTTGTTTAATTTAAATTGTTGTTATGCTGAGTTAGTCCTAATTTTTCATTTAAGATTCAATATTTATTGTCTTCAAGTTTTCTGAAAAAAATATATTTTTAAAAAATGAATATAAGATAGAATACTAATAATATGTTTTAAAATTCTAGATGTAGAAGAAATATTCTCTCTACTGAAAATTAAAGTATAGGCCGAGTTAAGACAAATTCAATAAAGCAGATTTTTTCATACCCTAAATTTTATTTTTATATTACATCATTTTAAGATCAATAGGAAAGCAAGACAAGTGAATATTGGATGAAGATAAATTGGCACATGAAAAGATCTCGGTCCCTGGACAATACATAAGAAACATGGAAAAGGTGTATGTTTATAAATCGGGAGAAACAGAGGTGGTATAGTGGTATAGTGGTAGAGAAGAGTGAAATGAGAATGTAGTTTAGGTTTTGGTAAATTGTTAAAAAGTTCTACCTTGATGATGCATGTAATAAGGTACTATAATAATTCTGAATCAAAGCCTAAAGGTGCAGACTGTGGTCAAATAATTCCCAAGTCATTCTAATGAAGAAAAGTCGATAGTGAAAAAGGAACGAAGAGAGATTTCAAAACTCAGAATCAAATTTACAAGCTAGACAATGTTCTTTTGTAGCGTATACTTTGAACAGAAGAAGACTTACAGATTATGCTGGTATTGGTTTTAAAAGTACTCATGAATACTTTTATAGTTGTGAGTATCAAGAACAATTTTACAATGATTGTTCTTTAAACAAATTATCTAAAATATAAAATCAAGTAAATTGTATTCTCGTAGTATAAATCCAAATGAAATTATGCTCTAACAGCGGTTAGATCCTTATTCTTCTCGGTGGAGCGTAGAAGGTCCAACTTTAGGTCATCATTGGACTGCCGCAGCTGATGCACAGAGGTGCGAGACTCGGCGAGCAAGGTCTTAGCCTTAGCCAGGCATCCGCTGCCATATTCTCCACCTCGGCTAATTGAAGGGTGAGCTCATTGTTGGACTTAATACCCTCATCGAATTTCTCTTGGAGGGCTTGAAGCTTGGTGGAGGCAGCTGCTTTCTTCTCAGCAGCGTAGGCCATGTACATGGTTGACCGAGCGTCAAGCTCGAAGGCCATGTTGGAAGCCTCTTCTTCGATCATCCTCTTTACGAAATCCTTTTCCTTAGAGAAAATGTCAAAGTGGATCCGTCGGGCCACCCACAAGTTGGGGTCGAGCAGCCCGAAGAGGGGAGGACCTTCAGGAAGTGCCCTTTTGCTACGCTTGTAGGACATGGAAGGCTCCTGAGCAGCTTTCCTCTTATTCTTCTTCTTCTGAGTAGGATCAGAAAGAGATATGGGTGGCCTCGACCTTATTAGCAACAACGGCCAGTAGGGTGGAAGCTGCGGTATGGACCTCAGGGTCGACCGGTTGAGCCTGTGCAGAATCAGTTTGCACCGGTTGAGCCTGCGCTACAGGCTTAGAGAGGGGAGGAGTAATGGGAACATGGGTGGAACACCCTTCGCCATACTTCTTCAAATCCCCTCCCAGATAGGCAAGCATTCCGGTGAAGGTACTGCTCTTTGTTAGGTCCATCACGGTCAAGTAATCTGCTTAACAAAAAAAAATTTAGATAAGTTACAAATGACTGCTCGGTGTAAGGCATCAAAAGTAGCTTACCGAACACTTTATTGTGAAGACTCTTAGAGTCCAGGAAGCCTATGAGCTTTCGAGAGGAGGACTTGAGGGGTATCTGATTTAGCTGGCTAATTAACTCCTGCTCGTCTAGGGAGATTGAAGACTTGGGCCATGAAATCACCTTCTTAGGACGGTTGGTCCAATAGAAGGGAAACTTAGGCTGGCTGTACAGAAAGTAGAAATAGGCATGACCGGCCTCCAAAGGAACAACCTTGAGGAAATTTGCCTTGAAATTTTTATACGATGTGTTGAATAGCGTAAAAAGCTATATCTCCTTGATCGAGATGAGGGAAACCCAAGGTTGGTTGGGGTGCGGCATGACTCGGAAAAAGTAGAGAAATGAGGCAGGGGTGGGACGAAGGGCGAGAGTGGCGCAGACGACCAAGAAGGCTTGCATAAAAGCCCAACCGCTCAGATGAAGTTGGGTGTGGGAGCACACGTTGAGTTCCCTCAGAACGCCCATTTGAAAGTTTGAAAAGGGTAAGAGGACTTTTAGGTCGCAGAACAAGGTGGAATATGCATAGAAAAAATCTGAGGCATTCCCTTCCCGACCGTGGCATGCCCGCTCGTTCAACTGGCAAAGCGTCAGCCTAAAGAAATTTGCATCGCCGACCGCCTTCACGAAGCTAACCCTACTGACTAGCTCCTTTAGCGCGTGTCTAGTAACGACGGAGGTAGCATAAAGCTTTACCCCATGAGGAGCCCAGTCGTAACCAGCAATGTCGGCCGGGCTTGGCACCTTCCATCCCACGCGCCGGTATAATCCACGTTTATTCCCACCTCCTCAGGTTCACTGTCTTCAAGTAGGCGGGAAGAGTTTTCAAAGGTTGGGATTCGGCCTGGTCGCTGGCGGGAGGATTTCTCTCATTGCTGAATCGGAGGAGTGAACAGAGGAAGGAGAAGCAGCAGCGTCATCAACATAACCCTCACCTTCTCTCCCGATGGACTCAGAGGCACTTGGAGAGGACATGTTTACCTGGTAGCAGAGGGTTGGGAGCGTTTGAGAGGGGAAGAGCAGGAAGAACGTTCGGTAGGCAGAGAGCTCGAGGGTAAAAGTGAAAATATGGGATGACCCTACCACTATTTATAGATGGTAAAGGCGGTTAATCAAACCCATCTAGAACGTTCAAAGGGAAAAGATCTGACAGTTGAAACATCGTTACGTTTTCTACCTTTTCCCGCCCTTTTTTTTACTATCATGACTCTTTGACTTTCGTTCTTCCCGCCATTTTGTAGATCCTGAAGGGATGTGACGTTTGGTGAATTGTCATGATTACCTGGGGAAATTGAAGACCTAAGTCGATCGGTAAAGACTGAAACCTTACGCAATCTCTAAGATTTTGCTAGGGCTTGGGGGACCTATGTTACTATGGGCTTATAGCCGACTGATCGGATACGATNAAAAAAGGGTGGTGTTAAGATGTGGTCAACGTATAGAACAACTGTCACAATTCAAGTAATAAGCCAGGTGCAATAAAAGTATTGGGTTTATACAACCTTTATTATGTTCAGATGTTAAATATTCTTTTACATAAATCAGCCACTAAAATAAAATATCTACGCACAGAATTTAATATCATTTATATAATTCATTGACATTATAGCTTAAAAATGATAAGTTATCACAAGACTATCCCCAATCCACTTGAATTTTAGCATGAACGTTGCTGAATTATATGTTAAAAGAATGGTTTCACAAAAATTAAATCCGATCAAAGCTAGTGTGTGCCATACTGATCTAGTTCCAAAGGGAACAATAAGTAAAAAGGAGTTTTGAATCCAAATGTTGGCCCAAAAAGAAAGTATGCAATATTTTTTTCAACACAACAGAGACTGTAAAAGTATTTGCAAGTCTTATTATCCCTGATTCACTGACCAAATACATTTTTCTCCCAAATCTTATTATCAATTAAGAAATCTGTTACTCACTGTTCCATAAGTTGGTGGACGGAGAATCCAACAAGAAAAAGATAATAAACACGAAGAATAAGAAAAGGGGAATGAAAATATTCACGGGGTTTTGTGAACTTGGAAAACAACCAATTCCAATGGCAGAGATGAAGAGGAAAAACAACAAAAGAAACCGTTTGCGAGGAAACAGCCAAGAATGGAAAGATGAACTAGGCAGAGGAAGCACCTGGAATATGAAGATGTAGTAAGCATCCTCATAGAGGGCCCGCATGGCATCAACGGGCCTGACTTTTTGGTTTTTGGGCTTGAAAGGGACGCTGAGGCAAACGTACGCCTGGATTCTCTCTGGTCCAAACACCCATTGCAGGTTATGGCACTATAAGGAAGAAGAAAACAGAAACCTGGAGCTCGGATTGAACACCCATTGCAGGTTAGGGCACTATAATGAAGAAGAACACTGAAACCATGGAGCTCCGATTGAATACCATGGCAACGGAAGGAAAAAGAAAATTGAAACCATGTTTGTAGTTGGAGAGTGAGACTGAGGGAGAGTGAGGGGAGGCAATTACTAGAGAGAGGGAGGAGAGGCAGTTGCGACGGAGAGAGATGAAAAGAGTGATGGAATCATGCATTCATGCATAGCATCTCAACTTAACCCAACTGCATAATTCATTTTATTGTAAAAGCCAGTTTGGTGCTGTTGCTGTCAAATTTAGTTTAACGTGTGATTGAGGAATTGGACTAATTGGTTTGATTTGATCATCATTTTACATAGTATAGGTCATTTGCATGGTATAAAACATAGTATAATCATTTAAAAAATAGTACTTTTTAAGACACTCCAAAATTTTCATCATAAATAATGTTCATAGTACGAATGAGATGCTTGTTGGTAGTGATAGACCATCTTTAAAGAAGGTGATAATA